AGAGGAGAGGAGAGGAGAGGAGAGGAGAGGAGAGGAGAGGAGAGGAGCACGTCCACCCACGGGTTTGTTACAGACTGGGGTAAATGTGCTGGTCTCCTTTTGTGAAGCAATGCTTCACTTCCAGTGAACGGGGCTTCAGTTCACATCAGTTGTGTAATAATGAACATCTGCCTGATTTTAAAGTGACTAAAATGTTTTTTTTTTCTGAAAGGAACGTGTCATATGATAAAGATACGGTCGATCCTTTTTATTTTAGTCGTATTTCAATCAAACCAAGTGTTTGACTTTAAAAAGTACCACCGGTGGTTTCAGCCTGTTTAAAGGGAACAAAGCTGCTGTTGGTGATTCACCACACTGGTGGAGCAGATGTGAGAGTTCTGTAGAAATCAGTTAAAGGCTCCAAGACCACCTCCAAGCAGCTTCATGTTCCTCTGACCACAGCGCACCATATTATTAAAAAATATAAGGTTCGTGGGACTGTACCTCACCGACCGTGAGCGCAAGAAAAAATGCAACCCCATGTTGATCAGATATGTGAAGGGCAGAAAAAAAGACTAAGAAACCATTCAAGCTGAACTCTAAGGTCAAAGTACACCACTTCCGGGTCACACCATCCAGTTTGAGTCATAATGGGCTCCGTGGAAGAACCTGTCACATCAGCTGATTATTATTATTACTATCCATCTTCCTTTCCTGGTGGCTGTGAGCTGTTTAATTTTCCTGCAGTCGGTGCGAGAGGCGGGGGACACAGGTCACAAGTTCATCACAGATGCACACGACAAACAAAACAAGCATTCACACTCTCGCTCACACCAACCAGTTCAGCGTTGGTGAACCTAGCGTGCATGTTTTTTGTCAGTTGGAGGAAACCGGAGTGCTTGCAGAAAACCCACGTATGCACGAGGAGAACGTGTGAACTCGGCACAGAAAGGCACCAGGCCGGGAGGCGAGCCTGCGACCTTCTCACTGTGAGGCGACAGCTCCTCCGCAACAGCTGTGTTAAACATTATTGGCATTAATAAATGTGATAATCCTCTCTTGTTTGCATGAGATTATGAACAGATTACCGGACGGTTCCATCAGGTCAGGGGTCAGGGCGTCATTAAGTCCTGGGTCCATCCCAAAACTAACAAGAAAAAGATTTCCAGAAAGAAAACGAAGAGAAAGTAAAGAGATGCAAAAGAAACTGGAGAAGACACGATGGGAATATTTGATCAACGCTATAACAAACTTAAAGAAAGACACCTAAAACAACCTAAATGCTCGGAATAACTCTAAAATACCTCTAAGACACAAAATACATCTTAAAATGATGAAAGGGCCACAAATCCCTCACTTCAGGTCTAAATAAAACCACACAAACGGATGCAAAATGACCACAAAACAATCAGAATTAGACTTTAACTGACATCAAAGAGGCATAAATATAAACAGAAAAGAACTGTTTGCGTGCAGTGAAGGTTTGTGGCAGAGCTCTGCTGGACTGCATTAAGCTAAAGTGTGTTTTCAATATTCCTCCATGTAAATGAAGGGGACTTGAAGTCTGTTCAACGCTCGTGGCCTCAGAACGTTTCTCCAGAAAAAGCCCAAAACAAACAAGTTCACCAGCCAAACCAGTGCAAGTGCTTCAGAATAGCTGCATAGCTTCCATTCTAAATTATCTTTAATAAATAATAACCATGAACGCATCATCTTGTGATGGAACTTCAAAGGTGCAGGATTGTTGTTCACCACAAGGGGGCGACTCATCTGAGCTCAGACCTGCAGCAGCTCAAACTGATCTTTTTAACAATATTTATTTATTTTTATTTTATTTTTATTTAGAAATGTATTCATTTCATTAAAAACAAAATAATTATGTACAAAAGAAAACAAAAAATATGTATACAATCAAAAATAAAATGAAAGGCAGCAGAAGAAGAATCAATCTTATGATATCTGCCACTTTATTCTCAGAATATATTCAAACAAAAGTAATTTACCAAAAAACAAAGCTACATAAAAACAACGTCAATTCAAACAACAATTTGTAAAGATGCACATTATACTTTTCAATAATAAGAGAATGTTGAGATTCACATTATTGTTTTCCTGTTAATAGTTTTTCTTCACATCTTTTTTAAACATGCACTTCAGCAAACTTTTTGCAGCTATAACCATTCAGATATTAAAATGTTCAGCTCATTCAGGAAATGGGTGGGATTAAACTTGGGATTTGTAACTTTTATACTTTTTAAAATATTTCTATTTTTAGAGGTTTGATTTAAATCAATGGGATTTTTAAAATTTAACTCGTCTTGTTTAGCTAATTTTGCAATTTAGCTGCTGTTTCCCTAATTTTAGCTATGAAGCCGTTAAATTTAGCTTTTAGCTACTGTTTTGCAGCTGTATTTTTTAGCTGGGTGACACGGTGGCTCAGTTGGCAGAGCTGTTGCCTCTCAGAGAGAAGGTTGCCGGATCAAATCCTAGCAAACCACCTTTCTGGGTGGAGTTTGGATGTTCTCTCCTTGCATGTGTGTGTTTTCTCTGGGTGTCCCAGTTTCCTCTAAAGTGAGAGAGTGAATGTGTCCCTTTGATGGACTGGGGACCTATCCAGGGTGTCCCTGCTGGACATTGGACACCAGCTCTCCATGTCCCAGAAAGGAAGAGAAGATCAAAAAAAATGGATGGTTTAACTTTAACAACTCAGTTTCAGCATCTTAAACGTATCTCAGCAGGTTTATTCAGCATTCTTGGTGCCTCTGGACAGAAAATGTAATTTTCCCTGTTCCTATAGAGCCCTGAAGTGACTTTTGTTGATGCAAGGAGCTACATAATATTAGTTGTTAAACTCATTTTAAAGCTCTCGTTTGGCAACCCGATGACCGTGCAGAGGTTTGCCCACCACATCAGTCTGTAAAGAACCGTCTGCTTCATCCTTTGTTCCATCAAGATAACACTGATTTTGGTGACACCACTCTGAAACCACTAATGCTCACGACTCAGAAATGTAATTGTGTTTGATGCTCAATGAGGTACTTAGTCTTTTCGCTGAAGGAGACTCGGTGTTGATGGGTATTGATCCAAGGTATTGAGGCGATCAGCCGGTTACTGTTGTCAAAAAACAGGTTGTTCCACCTGCTTCAGGACGTTCCCAATTCAGCGTGATCCTGCAGCTTTCACCGACTCCACGCTGATTATCATCTGAGGGAACAATGTCCCAGAAGCAGTGGCCGCAAGGCGATTCAGTTTCACTGCTAAGATCCAAATGCTCTTCAGTATTGATCTCGGGACACATCAATTTTCCCACTTCCTACATCCTCTTTTAAGATGGCTCCTGGATAACCCCAGTTCTGAAGATTCTGCTATCTTCATCGACACAGCTTTCTTTGATTTTTCCATTCGTGTATTGAACCAGATGAAATTTACTATCTGTGATTAAAGCGGCTGTTTATACCCACGAGTATTTCTTCAAAGTCCGTGTAGCGACAACAGATCGTCAAACAAAAGCTATATGAACATTTGATTTGATCGGTGTAACAGAGATGTTCACCACAGGGAAGAAATGTATCCATCCTATAGCCATAAATAGAAAATAGTCATTGATATATTGATATGTGCTGACAAAGCCCATGGCAGGACACATGTACCTTCTGCTGCACGTCTCACGTTCCTGCTGTCTGGTCGGTCAGCAGAAGGAAATGTCATTTGACTGTGCAAGGTCTCTAAAAAACCGGGATTATGATCATTTAATTGATGTTCTCTGTTTTATTCTAACTTTTTTGTGTATTGGTCAGTTTTTTATTTGTATAGAAAATGTTTTTTTGTTTGTTTTTTGTTTTTATCTTTGCTTTCCCAGAGAAGTTTTAACATCAGAAGAAATCTCAACTTTCTGGCCACTTTGAAATGTTCCCTCCAAGTTGAAGGAAATAAAATGTTTTATGGCTTTTTGTTGCAATGTTTTCCTTATTATTATTATTATTATTATTATTATTATTATTATTATTATTATTATTGATCCATCATCTTTATCCCCTTCAACCTTTTCAGGTTGTGGGGGTCACTGGTGCCCATATCCAGTCACTGTGCGAGAGGTGGGGGACACCCTGGACAGGTCCAAGTCCAACACAGGGACACAGAGATAAAGCACGAAGAGAACATGCAAACTCCACCCAGATAGATCCCTAGTTGGGATTTGAACTGGAGCGACATGCTCACTGAGAGGCAGCAGCTCTACCAACTGTGCCACCGTGCTGCAATTACATTATTATTAGGGTTAGTAGTAGTAGTGGTATTGGTTGTAGTAGTGGTAGTAGTAGTAGTGGTAGTTGTAGTATAAGTAGTGGTAGTTGTAGTAGTAGTAAAAGTAGTAGTAGTAGCAGTAGTTGTAGTAGTAGTAGTAGTGGTAATGGTAGTGGTAGTAGTAGTGGTAATGGTAGTGGTAGTGGTAGTAGTAGTGGTAGTGGTAGTGGTAGTAGTAGTAGCAGTAAAAGTAGTAGTAGTAGTAGCGGTAGTAGTAGTAGTGGTAGTGGTTGTAGTAGTGGTAGTAGTAGTAGTGGTAGTTGTAGAAGTAGTTGTAGTAGTAGTGGTGGTAGTAGTAGTATTAGTAGTGGTAGTTGTAGTAGTAGCAGTAAAAGTAGTAGTAGTAGCGGTAGTGGTAGTAGTAGTGGTAATGGTGGTGGTAGTAGTAGTGGTAGTAGTAGTGGTAGTAGTAGTAACAGTAAAAGTAGTAGTAGTAGTAGTAGTAGTAAAAGTAGTAGTAAAAGTAGTAGTAGTGGTGGTACTAGTAGTAGTAGTTGTGGTAAAAGTAGTAGTAGTAGTAGCAGTAAA